TATGGAGAGCACAATCCAAAATCAACGAGGTATCGAGAGTAATCAAGTTATTACGTTTTTATTACTCAAAGTTATATGTGTTATTAATTTTTTATACTGTTAATCCTCTTCCTAGTTCATTTCTCACTTGCTAGTCTTCTGCAAAATTACCTTGTTTTTTAGTAAAGATAAAACTTAGCATTTCAGAATGGTTTTGCTTCACTAATACTATGTTTCTGATATCTTAGTTTCTCTCTATTATCGACGTTTATATATTTGCACTCAATTTTCCCTAAAATATTATGTGTTATGTAAAACATATCCTATCAAAAGTTCTGTTGCTTTTTTTGAGTCCGTTTTTTTTTACAAAAAGTAGCATTTTTTTATATTTGGCGGCAGTGTCGTCTATGTTTTCGGTGAGCAGGTAGCTCATCAAATCAATGACATAACGGTCACTTATCTGCGTGAGCCGGTGATTGCTACTTTACGTGAAGTAGACGCTAGAGTCAACGCGGTCTTGTTTGCTGCTGCCGACGGTGAGATTGCCAGCCGCATCAGCCAGATGCCTATCATTTTGGTGCCACTTCACTTTGACCGCGATGCCCAGCTCGTCGCTGCACCCTCGGTGTTGCGCTCCGTCGTCCTGAGGCCATTCATAACTTCCGATTTTATGACTGGTACTCCTGCTATCCCGGGTGTCCATATTCCTGAGGAAGTGAGAATCGCCTTATTTATGATATATCTCTTTTAGTGAATTTAATTTAGATAATTTTAACAGATTAAAGCCATACCACTTTTTATATGCTCTTGAACGGCACTGGTAGACTGACTACCAAATATGCTATATGTTTTACTTGTTCTTCATTTTGAACCCCACCTCTAGTGGAAATTAAACTTCAGGCTAGTTTTGATTAAGTCATTGGTGATCTAATTGCTTCTTCTCTCTCAACGGCTTGACATAAACGGCATATATTTTACATCACATAACTTTTTTCGACTAGCAACACCTAATGGTCTTCTCTTGCAATTTCTACATAGATCGAATCAGTGAATCTAGAGTATATTTGCTATCAAGGTTTTGGGGGCATAATGCATCAAGTAGCACGGATACCGTGGCAGAGATCGAGTGAAATCACCGGTCCAGGAAGATAAGAACAGATTTTACTGGGCAAGAGGAACACTGGTACTGCCTGGATGAGGAGGTTTGCAGACTAAAAATTAAATCTCGAATTATCACCCCTAACACACTGGAGGGATGGGATAACCAGCAGGGAATAGGTCTCACTGAATCCGCTCAAAGGAGCACCTCTGGACTAGGTTAAAATAAGCTAGTTAGATATTGTAATAGGGAAGAGGATGATATGAAGCTATAGTATAGGTGAACATACCAGGGCGATAGAGAAGAGAGGAGGACCACACCTGATAAACAGAAAATTGGTCACATGATCGACTTCAATTGTCTCTGACGGGTTGAAGTGTGATGTTAAGATTGGCAAGGCTTATGAGTGATGGCGACGTCAAAATATGGATTTTATAATGCATCTAATTACCTTCGGCATGCAGCACAAACTTGAGGAAAATTTTTGAAAGAGTAGAATTCAGTATACTTGGTATCATATATAAAAATCAATTATATTGTTATATAGATTTTTTCCGTTTAAGGCTATGATTGCATAATTTA